TGTCCTCAATCAATGTTCAGGACAACAGAACAAGTCACCCCCAAATACATGAAATTTCAATACTTCCCACAATGTTATTGAGATCTTTTGCACTCGCTTTCGCTCTTTCTTTCATAGTCCTTACTTTCTACATTTGGTTGTTCTGCCACACTTCCACATATAAGTACTGCTTCCCCTGTCAGCTTATTTCACACTCTCACTAAGCCTCTCGGGGTTAAAGTGCTTGCACTCAAAATTTCACAATATGAAATATCAACTCATAAGCTTGAATAAATTCTAATTTCATTCCACATACACACGACACACACTTTTTGAAGTCTTTTTGGGTTGTAACGGGGCTTAGGTTAAGGTGGGATATGAAAAAACGAGAAAACAAATGGTTTTGGGATCACAGTCAGTGTTGTCATTCTTTTCACAATGCTAATTTTGCAACATTTATCAAATGGGAATTTTCAGACTTCTTTTTCAGTTTAACTACTCAGTTTCCTCTCAATTGTTTATTTGAGTGTATATCTTTGATTTTTAAATTGAATCTCTTCTTTAGGTAAGTGTTTTTTCTCTTTGTGCAATCAGATTTTTCTATGCCATTTTTCATTTTTTTTCCTATTTTTTTTCTTTTATACACTCACCTCGTTCATCTTAGGTGTCTGTACCCCAAACTTAGAACTTGTCACAGATTTGAGTCTAACAACACATACCTGAGCATGGTATAGAAATGTATGGGCCATGGGTTATACAGATACAATGATAAAAAACAAAGGGATAAAGGCTCAAATGGGGTTAACAAGGGATAATAATATCAGGGTTGGCTTGAAAGGCTCATGGGTAAAAAGAAACAAAGTTACTTAGTGTGTGTAAACATATGATGATATTGTAAGAGAACTTACACAAAATCCGAGTGATAAAGACATACCTAAAAGATCTCTCATGATGAATATGTGTTTGGCTTGTATGCTCTCACCATGTTGGGTAAATCTTAACAGAGTCTAAAGTACCTCTATGGTGGTGCAGCTTCCCTCTCAGCTCGAGATTCACAGGGTTCCTTTGTCAGTTAGACTTGATAAATTTATGTCCAATCATCTTCTTTAGCAGTATCAATTTTTGGGGGCTTCATAGCAAAAAAGTACACAAGTGGGTTTCATCTTTTCATCCAATAGTACTAACCTTCATCACTTATCTAGACAATAACCTAAAACCTATAATACTTGAAACAACTACAACACATATTAACAGAAAGAAATAGAAAACAATAAAAATAAAGAACATGATATAACAAAAAACAGTAAACCACCCCTACACTTGAACTACACATTGGCCTCAATGTTTTAGAATAGGATAAAGAAGGGTGACTCACAGTGTGTATTAATAACAGGCATCGAGCTTATAACATAAATCAAACGCTTATTTTGAGGCACCCTAGCGGTTGTGTATTTTTGTATATTTTGTAGTTGTATAGGTGTTAGTGGAGTGCATGAAAATTTTACTGATGTTCTGATTTTTCTGCAAAAACCTGCTAACGATAAGCGTGCTTTATGCCACTTAACTCACTTAGCAGATTTTTGCTAATGAATTCTTTTAGTTTCACTTGGCATCCTTTTTCCCACTTATATCAATGTTGTTCAGTATAGTTAGTGTGGTGAAATTTTCTAAACAAATTTAAATAGTACCAGCTTTTAATTTTCCAATATTCACTTTTAAATTTGTCTATCCAATTTCACCACTTTTCTTTTAGTATGTTATAGTTTTTTTTCGTTTTTTGGACTCAAATCTTTGTCTTTTGGTTTAAAGTCGTAAGTGATGGTTTTCCAAGTTTGATCGTTTCAACTTGTGGATGTATGGTAATGATATTTTTTGAAGTTGTTACACTTCAGGTACTCGTTGATCGCTTTCTATAACACAACATGTTTAGAAAACTTTTCATTTGTATAAATTCCATGCCATTCATTCTTTTACATTACTTGTTTTTTATTGAATCACTTTAGTTCCTTTTTGCCCCCAAATATGAGGAAGCTTTCCATTGTTCATATATGATAAAGGCCATAATTCTTGTTCTTATTAGATTTCATTATGTTTAATCTTTTTTTTGTGTTGACTGTATGAAATCATGAAAAGGATCAAGGAATTTTGTTTCATTTTGAGCACAACTACCTTGCCAAATAGTCAATTCATCTTGTGAGTGTGTGAACTTTTTTTTTGTTCTAAGTGTTTATAATTGGTTGATCATTGTGAGTGTGATTGAACAGGGTTTGAGAATGGTCTCATACATATCAGATCTGTGTGTTATTACCTTTCTGTTTTGTTCAGTTTTGTTTCTTGATTGATTGAAATTTCATATAAGATGTTGAAAAATCTATTACGATTTTGAACTGATAAAGTTTGTATCAATCTGCTATATTATGTCCATCTGTTGTTAAACATATATCTTTGTCTCAAAATGTGTTAGGACATCTTTGATCTGAATACTAGAATTTCAATTGGTATCAAAGCAGACATCTTGTTATGTTCTGGGTGAGATCGGGGAAGATGATTTCCGGTACTTTGAACAAGAAGGGATTGCAGTGTTTTGTGGAGTCTCTGATATGGAGGTGGTGTTATTTATGAGGCGTTTTTGTTGCATGTGCCTCTATTGTGTAAACCTGGGGTGGTCAGGTTTAATTTGTCTTCTAGAGTTCTGGTTTTTCCTTGAAAGGGCTAGATGTCTACCTGATGGCTACTATTAAGGATATCTCTTTTGTATGTTGTTCTATAGGATGTTCTTGACAACTCAACTGAAGTCTGAGAAATGATGAAGATGGAGGAAGCTAAAGAGATGAGAGTGTTTTTATTCCTTCACACTCTAGTCTGTGTATGATGTCTTACCAAATGTTATGACAGTGTACCTACTTTTAGGACTTGGTCAACTCATATTGATGATCTCTTAAAGAGGGAGTGAGGGTTATCCATGACAATCTGATTGATGGTTCTCTCTGAAGTTGTCATCAATGGTAATGAGATGATGTGTCTTCTGAGTTGTGGGTTGTTGAGGAATTGTTGATTTGTATTCCGCTGCATGTGTATATGATCTTTGTGTCTCAGGGTGAGGATTTAAAAAGGCATGATGATCTGATCTTCTTTGAATGGTATCTCCTATTGTTGTGATTAAAACTTGCCAAAGATACTTTAGTTAATCTCAAGTCCACTCATAAAGGAACTTTTAAGTGAGTTTGTTCAACTGAGATCTGAAGAAAGTAAGATGCAATTTATTTTTGCTTACAAAAAGGAAAATCTTCAATCTTTGATAAAGGTTCCATTAATATGTCCCTTGGAATGATTTTCTACCAAATGTTAGAACATCACATCATCAAGTTATGAAGATTTCAGTTGGCTAAAAGAATGCAGTTGCAAATGCTTTAGGTGCTAAAAAATGTGTGTTGGTGACATATGTTTAGAACCTTCCCTTGAACTGGAAGATAGGGAATCTTGGTTGTGTGTTTAAGAAGTTCTTGTTGGCTGAGCTCAAAATTTCTAGAGGAGGTTTATTTTCTCAACCAGGTTCGTCACATGTGGATGTCAAGTTCAAACGTCGAGGAAATTCTCTGTATGATCTTGCTTTTGACAATTATGATGGAATAATTTCTAACTTAGTAGGAACAAGAGGGGGTCTCTAATCTGGAGATTGGATGGCCTTGAAGATATGTCAGATATAATGTCTTGACATCTTTGTGGTAAGAATTTATATTTCTCAACTTGTATGGGCTATGGTTCCCTTGAATAGGATGAAGGGATATCATGGATCTCTAGGTCTTCTGTAGTAAAAGAGACATACAAGGGGTTGTGTGTAGTGGAGAAGCAGGCTTATTCTGAATAGTCTATTTATGGTTATTGCGTAAACTTATGACATGGGCTTGGAGGGTTATCAGTTGATGATGAGTAGAAGTATGGTTCTCCTGTGTTCTTTTCAAGAAGTGATGATGGATTACAATGGGAGTAAAATGCATTGGTATCTGATTTGATGTTAGAACATCACCCCAGTGGTTTGCTACTTCATAAAAGAAATGTTGTGAATGAAGGAATGTGTGGATATGTTTCCCGGATAAAGGTGTGCATGTAACTAATGACAAATACCCAGACGGGAGCTATGTATTTGTCTAACATGTGTATGCAAGTCTGCAATATTATTAATTTATCAAAATAATTATTTAATAAATAATTAATTACAATTTAATGATAAATAACTAAAATATCACTTTATACCTAAACCAAATTATTGAATAAATAATAAAACTATATAAAAATAATAAATATATATTGTTTATAAAAATATCAGGATGTTACACGGCGCGTTACCGGACCTTAAAACCCGTAAAGCATATACTTTTGTAACATGAATTTTAAGTTAAAAAATATTTTTTCAAGTAAAAGTAGTCTCACAATCAATTTTGATCTGCTTTTGTAAGTCTCAAAATCGATCGTTCGAATTTCTAAATCAGATACCGTTTCTGCCTCTTGAAGATTAGTCTTAAGGACGAATATCAAAAGGATTTAAACATTCATGGATTATTTTAAGAAAACAAATACAGAGACAAAAAACAAAAACTCATTAACTTATGGGGACGATTTAACCATTTAAAAAATATATGAAAAAACAACTCTTTATCATGATAATAATAATATTATATCTTTTATGGAATAAACTAATATATTAATTAACTAAATCAAATTAACTTATATATATGATAAAAATGTAATAGTTTATTAAATTTGTTTGAGAGTGAATTTTAATAATGGCCAAAAGGTGTAAGTAAATATAATGCAAAAAAGATGATGATAGTGGTTTAAGAATAAATGAATGAATTCTGTGGTCAGGGTAAATATATAGAAAGTAATAGAATAAACTATGTCTTTGGTCAACATAAGTTATTGTGCCGTTGTTTTTCATTTCAAGAGATTTTCCTATTTATGACCAAGAATCTTCACCTCCAAACACAATCATCAATACCACCATAGAAAAGAATCATCTAATGCCATCCTTCATTATCAATCGTTGCAAAATGTCCAGTGCACCCATTACTCACATCATTGAGATCGATGTCGGGGTCGATTTATCAAATGTTCTCTTTGAATTAGCTCAGCATCGAGGGAGATCCATTAGTGTTCTTAATGGTAGAGGAATGGTGGAGCAAGTCACGCTTCGTCAAGCCACAGGGAGAATCATAACCCATCAAGGAAGGTTCAATATAATCTCAATATTTGGGACAATCATCCCATCATCAACATTGGAGAGTGCAGGAGAATTAGAAGTCAACTTATCAACCCCTGCATTTGAAGTGATAAGAGGGATTGTGATTTCTCCTCTAGTGGCCTCAAGTCCTGTGATATTGACTGTCTTATCATCTTCAATCACTGGAGTTTAAAATCTTTCATCTCGCATTTAGCTTAAGTTAAAAACATTTTTATATCAATATATGTCTTGTTGTTTTATGTTTACTATTTCTTCAGTTGTTTATCTATGACTCGTAATACATTTAAAAATTAAATATTTATAAATTATGTCTAGTATCATGGTGTATTAACTTAATTGTCGTAAATTTTCTAGTACACAAATAATGTATGTGTAAGATCTAAAATTGACTGAAGAACATGTACTTTATGGTAGGTTACACATTTAATTAGTCTTTGGAGGAAGACAATCGACATGTTGGTTCCAAAATAGGGCGGTTGAGATTAGATTTAGGTGAAACAAAGTATTTACATTAATTAAGAAATGGAATCAAGAGCGCAATATCGATGTAGGAAACCTAAGACTGTGTTTGAATGAAGGATTTAAATGAGCGAAAGAATTTTTTTGAGGGAATTTAAAATTGTTTTTCCGTAAATCCATTGTTTGGATTAAAAAAAAGAATAGTTATAACAATAACGGAAATCTACCAATTATCTTGCTTAAGTTAAATTGAATAAATTTCAAATGACACATTAAAGTAAATAATTTGATATCCCTCCTTCTTGTTGACTATAGCCTTGTGAAACCACATTGGCTTTGTTTCTTATCACATCTCCTTTCTACTTTAATTTATTTCTGAAATCCCACTTGGTTCAAATGACATGTTTTCCTTTGAGTCTTGGCACTAGATCCAACACATCATTTCTAGTGAATGACTTTATTTCTTCTTGCATACCCATTATCCATTTTGTGTCAAAAAAAGATTCATCGACAAATTTTGGTTCTGTGATAGTGTTTATCTCTTGTGTCGGTAAACAATGTTGATCTCTTAACAAAAGTTTACTTGCGAGATCGACTAGAGAATCTCAGTACAATACTTCAATTTTCAAGTGTTTTCACAAAGTGTATTCAAAAAGGATTCGTTCGACTGGTGCCAAAAAAGTTTATAAGCAATAAAGAAAAACTTGTAAAATAAAACAAAAAGCGTATTAAACTGTAAACATAAATGACATAACATCAAAACTGTTAAAAATAAGCTTATTCAAACATACATGGCCCTATCTTGACTCGTTTGGGTACTCTGGGTGACTAGCGTATATGAATGTGAAAGTTTGAACCCCTAACACTATACACCAAGTACTTTATTTATAATACACATATAATAACTGCTTTCTGGAGAGCTTCATGTCTTTGTACGCCATGTGTATTTTGCAACTTCTCTCCATGAACCCACGTTCTCCACTCAAACTCATTTTTCCCTCCAAAGCGCTTCGCTCGCTTGGTCTGGACTCTTTGGGCGTTTTGATGTTTCGAATCCTAATTAACTACTTAAGGGGTCTCCTCTGGACGAGTGCAGTTGTAGTTGACTTAGATAATTTCACCTTTTCAATTAACCTTCTTGGATTGTTTTCTCTTGGTTGGATTTTAGTCCTTGTCGAAAATCCCAGCAAACAAATAACCCCCCAAAATGTCCTTTTCGATTAAAACTATAGAAATGGACATTTTAGTCCTTCTTCTTAGTGCGAACTAACATCATCATGATCATGACTTTTCCCTCAAATGTCATGTCTGCGAACAAACAACCACTTTCCTATTTTTTTAGCTTCAACTTCCTAGGATAAACGTGGCCCCCAGCTCAAAAACTTTCTCAATTAATCACCATCTGATTGACACGTGCTTTCCATGTAACCACAATTTTCCCACTTCCTTTCCAAACTATTGATTTTTGTCTTTATTTTGGACGACACTTCTGGCACAAACTTCCTTGGCATTTGTTTGACTTGTCATTTTCCTGGATTTATAGGTAGTTTGATTTCCACCATCTCCCTGCTCATACCAGGAATTTCATTGTAATTCCATGCAAAGTGATACTTAAATTCTTTAAGCAGTTCGACCACTTGATTCTTCATCTTGCTGTTGACCTTGGTGTTGATGTATGTAATTCTCTTTGTCGTTCCATCACCCAGGTCGTCATCCTCAAGCAGATCATGTGCTTGCATCTTTAGTATATTATATCTTAGGTCTTTCTTAAACCCCAAAGGCTCTTCCTCATATATGCAGTCAAGCCTCTAGCTTTCTGAAGTTGTTGTCTGGATTGGTTCTCCAAGCTTCTCCACCATAATGGCTTCAGGCGCCATATTTAAAGTATCTTCAGCCTCTAAGGCCAAATTTATTCTATTTTCGACCACATAGGTCAAAATTCTTGCCAGAGCATTCAACTCAGGCATCATCATGAGTTTGTTCTTCCCACCTACCTTGTCGGTTCAAACCCCTTCTGTAGCCGGATATGTGTCCAACTTTTCTTGGTCCCAAATGAAACCATGAGTGGGGTGTAAGGTTAGAAACTTGATCATATCAAGATGCGATTCCAACACTACATCTTCGGGATCAAACGAAGGTATAGTAGCTAATGCTTTGTCAAAATTCTTCCCATTGACCACATTCACATCAGCAGTAAAATAACGGTGGTCTGCCTCAATGTTCTCCATTGTAACACCCTATTTTCGATATAAATTATTTTAATTAAAATAATTATGCGATGTAGTAATTTGTTTATTTTAATGAGCAATGGGATATGTCGTTGTACCTTGGCGTGAGGTGAATACCTTAGAATCTTTAAATAGTTAAGGTCGAGGGGTGTGTAGATAATTTTTTAGTATCGAGGGTGCATTGAGAATATATTATTATTATTATTATAAATAATTGCGATTATGATGATAATTGTATTTTTTTTAATAAAATAAATAATTAATTAAAAGAGGGAAAAGTTGGAATATAGATTTAGGGGTCCAAGAGGTTAAGTGGTCATAAGAGAAAAATTAGAAGTTGGATCGTGATAATTTTCTGTGAACGAGAGAAGAGAAGCGAAGAACGAGAAAGAGAGAAGAAGAGACAATTGTTCGGAAAGGGAAGAATTTGCGGTAGTGGTTTGGGAATATACAACCTAAGTTAAGGGTGGGGTTCCGACAGTCTAATAGGTGGTATAATGGTAGGGTATTTGATTTTGGTTTTGGTGTAGGTTATTTGATTTAATCTGTTGAAATTCACTATAATCGATGAATTGATGCTTTGAATTGTGTGGTAATTGATGTATGTTGATAGCAATGATAATTGGATGTTTGATTGTGCATTATTTCATGAAGTTTGTGTTTTTGTAATTGAGACAAAAGGGTTTTCGTACTGCACTTTACAAAATTTGTAAAATTGTTTTTCATAGATTTGTAGTACAGGTGCAATCGGTTTGGACTTCCTTAAAATTGTGAAATTTAGCTTCTGGACTCGGTGCAATCTATTTGCATGTTAGTGCAATCAATTGCTCATTGTTTGACAGCATTTTGAAAACTCCATAACTTTTGACTCGGGTGTCAGTTTGACATGCCGTTTGGACTGTTGGAAAGCTAAAAACATTTTTTATAATGTGGTAATAATTTTTATGGAAGTAGACTAATATTTCATAGGAACAATTCTGATGTTTGCGTATGTTGTATGTGTTGTAATGCAAAATATTATGATTGAATGTATCAGTGTTGTATAAATGATGTACGAGGATTTTGCATGATGTATTGCATGATAATGATGATGAAGGTGGCCTGTATTGGCGAGACATTGATAAGTATGAATAATCAATGTAAATTAAGTTGTTGCATGTCAGTGTCACATGCATTCATGAAAGATGGCATGTATTGGAGAAAGATGGCTTGTATGAGCGTTGTTTCCCCAAGTTGGCATTTATAAGTTGAGGGTTTTTCCCTATTATGATGGCCTGTATTGGCATTATGAATTTTTTTCCCTAAGTTGGCATTATTAAGATGAGGGTTTTTCCCTAATGTTACCTCATGCATTTTGCATCAGTGTCACTCGCATTGTATATTGCTGAATTGCTAATACGATGATGAAGTCGTATTGCATATTATTGAATAGTTAATACAATGATGATGTTGAATTCCATATTGTTGAATTGTTAATACGATGATGATGTTGAATTACATATTGTTGAATTGTTAATACGATGGTGAAGTCACATTGCATATTGTTGGATTGTTAATACGGTGATGATGTTGAATTGCATATTGTTGAATTGTTAATACAATGATGATGTTAAATTGAATATTTTTGAATTGTTAATACGTTGATGATGTTGATTTTCATATTGTTGAATTGTTTATATGATGATTATGTTGAGTTTCATAATTGGTATGTGGTGTATGAAGGATGTCGTTAGAGAGAATTGTTGGATTGATTTAATGTTATCCTTGGGATGGACTGTTTGGAGTTAAACCAAGTGATTACAAATTATTTTGATGAATCGATGCATATTCTTATGCCGAAAGATATTTGTTAAACAAGTAGGATAACTCTTAGAAGGTGAAGCTCAGATGGTCATAATGTTTCAACATTGCATGTTGATCGTGAAGTTGTCAGTGTTGAGTTACCATTGTGTGTGATCTAGTTGTCTTGAGTAATGCTTAAGTGATGAATTCTTATGAATTTTATATTGCAATCATGTATGTTATTGTTGATTGTAGTTGATGTTGCTAAGGTGTTTGTGAATTGCGATTCAGATTCAAAACTCAAAGATATGAGTAGATTAGTAAAAAGGACTGGAGCAATGGTGTTTTGTAAAACAGAATTTTTGGCAAATTAATGTGCCTCTTGAGTTATAAGAAGAATGGGGTTTTGGAAAAGTGTTGGAATGAGTTTTGTACATAGAAAATCATGAAAAACTGCTTTTGTACAGTAAGCAGTCGATTGGCATTAGAGTGCAATCCATTACACAGTTAAAAATTTGTGGAAAACTGCTTTTTTATAGGGTGAAATCGATTGCTGTTCTAGTGCAATCGATTGCAAAATGCTAGACATCATGTTTATAAAAACTTAGAAAATTCATAACTTGAACTCTGGACGTCCAATTTGAGTTCCCTTCAAAGAGTTAGAAAGCTAACGTAATGAAATTTGTTTTAAAAATGGTTCTAG